TTTTTGAGGCTGGGTAGCATTATCTTCATCTTGTGACTTATCAGCCTTGCTAATCGACAGACGTGGTTCCAGTATGTACCCCAGCCTTCGTGTCCCCATTCCGTATTTGCAAGGCACCCTAGTCAAATGAACCATATCGCCTCGCTAGCCTTGAACAGCCAAGGAGAGAAACAGGTCTACGATCAGAGTTAAGGGTCGGAACGCAGCCGCGCCTAGCAAAGACTGAAAGGCTAGCATTTTCCGTGGGTGTGGTGCCAGTGGTGGAGGCTGAGCTTGCTTGATCGTTCACTGCTTGAATAGGCTATTTTGAACGCGGACGACAGCACAGCCCTATCACAACCTATCTAGCGTGTTGGACATTAAACACCTGATAGGTGGCGCAGCGCAGGACATGACACCAGGCTAGTTGCGAATATGAGAGATCCTCGGGCTCCAAATGGCAGCTAAGCCTCTATATCTTCACGAAATCCCCCAGCTTGCTTGTCCTTGCTATCACATCTTGTGAAAACCGCTCTCCTGTCAGTCCCACCTTTTATTTCGAACTCAACTCCAGAAAATCATCACCTCTCATATAACCATCTCAACATACAATCAAAGCCGACATGTCTCACAAAAACGGTGGCTACTTCTACTATCGATACACCTACATGTGCCCTTGGACAGATACGGCCGGACAAAGCGGTATAGATAACACATACCACTCTGCTGTTTACACTCCGGCGCGGAAGCAAGACCACACGGCACAAACCGTTTGGTTCAATAACACGGCCATGCCGGCTGTGAAAGCCGATATTGAAAAGAATTTTTACGGTGATGCAGATCGAAACAGGCAAGGCCGGACCCATGAACGTTACAACCAGCAGTACGTTAGACAGGAGCAATTTATGTGGTGTTCTAAGCTTCCGACTCATACAACCGGGGGAATGGTAGGGCTGCCATTTGGGAAACAGGTCTAGCGGAAAGTTCCCTGCAAAGGAGCGTCTCTGTGTCTTCTTTCCGTCAAGATATTGAATATTTCGTGCCGTCTCGTGGATTGGGATTTAATCATGGACTTGTGTTGGTGACATGCGAAGGTACACATGATTGTTTCTCTCAGGTGGAGATTAGATTGTTGTCCTTCTAATGGCCTTGTATGTAGAGCGCCCTTGCGATAGTTTCATCGTCAATACCTTGAGCAAACCCCTGACCAGAATGAAAGAAAGCAGATATTTGGTGGGCAAGGCTGAAGTCGTGGTGGACAGGTAAACCGACCAAATCAGAAAAAAATGAGAAAGCAAAAGACATACAACAGTCGGGTTCGCTAATGGTCACCCAAGACATCGTAAGGTACTAACCGGCCGGCGTGTGGCTTGAACGCAGCGAACAGTCGGGTAAGGTCTGAAGGACTGACTGATTTTCCTATTTTCCCGCAAATCCCGGGCCCAAGTAGTACTCCTGGGACAAGCTCCCAGAAGCTTAGGGATTCCCATCAACAGGCACCTCTGCCGCGCCTGCCGGCGTATTTTTCAGGGAACTGGAACAGCAGCCATCGACCTTTTTAGGTCAAATGAAAATGGCGTATTCTTTGAGCACTTGGATGGCGATAGTGTGGCCAAGCCAAGTGTACAACGGTTTGGTCAACGGCTGACAGACCTTTTCTGTTCCGAAAACGTGCTTCTTCACGGTCAAACTTGTTCAATATTTCGTGCAAATGATCTAGATGATCCTAATCTTGTCGTTTCCGAATATATCCTCAATGTACTGATACCCTGCCCTCAAATTCCAGAAACAGGTCTAACAGTACGTCTCCTTTATATCTAACTCGCCCGTGGCTTCAAGCCCGTCCCCCAATGAATATCGAATCCTCGGATGGGAACGAGATGAATCCTGGACAATGATTCTTATCGGAACAGTCCTTGTCAGAGTTCCTGACAAACCGGCGCCCCGCAGCTGGTCAAGATTATCTCCGCGGACGCCCGACAAAACTGAGATCAAACCGAACCCCTTTCCGATGGGGGTTTTGTAGCAGAAGCAGATCGAAAGCAGCATCACCGTGCAGAGGGCCGGGTGGATGCAAAGTGTGAGGTACAGACCCCAATTCGCCTTAAGGGTTAACCGTGTTGAATGGATAGTTTCGCTGGTTGGGGGATAGTACATTTCGGGATACACGTTGTTTGTCGGATCCATGTAGATGATGCGAGCCCAGAACATGCTTGCAACGGAGGTCGTCAATGATGGGAGCAGCCACGGCGACTGACTCTGGGATTGTGATGGGGAGTACCGAATCAACCATGTCGCCAACAGAGGCAGCGTGTCGGCGTAATACGGCGTGGTGCTGTTGAAAACGACTTGCTTTGTCCTTTCTCCAGTACAGTGACCACTCGTCAGTTGGATGTTACTGCGGGTCACTGTCCACTGTGCCTGACACTTTTCTCGCTGGATGTCGAACTTGTAGGCGGTCTTTCTGAAAGCGAGACTGGTGGATTCAGTTGCGTTGCTGTAGATGTGCAGCCCGTATGCATCTCCCTTGAAGAAGCCAATCAGACAATACGGGCCCGGGTTCTCACTATGCAAGCTGTCCAGGCCATTAATCATCCCCATTTGATAGCCATTGTAGAGGGAGATCGTCGACAGACCGGTGGGGTTATAGGAATGGTTGAAAGCAGCGGTCCAAAATGCATCATTGTCTTTATAGGACGATGTTGATGAATTGTATCGGGCGACTGTTCCATCCACTGCCGCTGACATGCTCCAAGATTCACCATCGGTCAGGTTCTGCTGAATAGAAGAGAGAAAGTCTGGCGAAGGTAAGTCCAGCAAGGCCGTGGAGGTATTGTCCAGGACGACCGTGTTAAATCCGTACACGGCTGGGAACTGCGGCATCGAACGAGCGCTTGAGGATGCCGCTATGTACGGAACGCTTGCATTGATCATGTAATAGATCGAATTGTTCATCACGTTAAATGTGCCCATAGGAAGCGGCACGAGGCCATAGAACCGTGGAAAGTTGCTCTGGATCTCTATCGTGCTGCTTCCTCCAATGAGCTTCTTGTATGCCACACTGAGTCCCAGAGGGAGGAGGGTAAGGAGGAGGAAGCATGCACGCCAGCGTACGTCTGCTTTATCCAGAAACACACTCTTCTTGATAATGGCCTCGTAGTTCTGCAACGTCGGGCTCGTTCGTCGGGTCTCGACAATGAGGAAGAATATCGGCGCAAGAATGCCGGTACATTCATTCATGAGACTTAGCAACAATCCGATAACGACCAGCTGGTTAGTCAACCCCAGAGTCCAAGACAGGCTCCATGCGGGCCCGATCGTAGGTTGGATAGCAAGGATCGAAACCACAAAGCATATCATGCAGCCCAAAAGAGCCAGTACATGACTCTGGTCACAGTACCATCGTTTTTCCGGCACTCCAAGCGACTTGGACGTTTGTGATGGGATCTGAGAGTACATCATGGGTTCAACAGCTTGTGCTGGTGCAACGTTCAGGATTAGAGATGACGAAGACTCAAAAGCTTTCACCACTCAACCCTCCAGTTTATATCATAGTCGCCCTCCAGTGCCGTGTAGCCTTTGGTGCACGTAAGATGCAGGGCAACCCAGAGTTGTCTCGGTCTAACTGATGATTACATGATAATCAGTTTCTTCCAATTAAATAGGACTGACTCATTAGTAGCACAGGTTTGCTTTTTGTGTGAACAGACAATTGGACTTTGTGGTAAGGGGGCGCAAAGCCCCGTCCTTTAGCCAGCTTCGCTCTTCCTTGGATGCTTTTTTGTGTATCCCTGCAAAGGAGCGAACAGTTCCGCTACCTATATACATACAACCCAAACCTCTCTCTGCTTGACTGCAGCCTTATTAGCGTAGTTTGATTATATTGAATGTCAGACTTTGAGAGTGTGTGACAAAGAGAGTATATTGTGTCTGAAGTGCAGACTTAAGGCTATTTAAGTGGGGAGGATCGCAGTTCATCCTAACTATACAGCATGAATATGATGCACAAACAATCAGTATGCAGTGAGGCATTTTTGAGGTGAACATGATAAATAGGAAGCAAACAAAACATGCTGTTGGACCAAACTGTAATGTCTTCCTATGACAGGTCTGAAAACATAAAGCACTTCAAGATGACCACAAATAGGAAGCAACCAAATGAGCCTCCTGACCAGAATTTAACATTTGCCTGACAGGTCAGACAGTATACAATGCAAGGCTACAGAGGGCAACTATGTTGCCTTCGCGGGTCTACTAGGAGCCTGAATACTCAATGTTTGCTCTGTGGTCTGTGAGACTAGCTGCATTACTATAAATATCTGTTACTTAACAATCCTTCCTTCCTTTCCGCTAGAAGCCACTCGCGATGGGTGCTTCGCTTCAGATTCTCTTTTATCTACAAGTTTTATACTTCTATTTCTTCTTTATTACTTTTTCTACTGCGAAAAAGGAAAGCTAACATGACAGGGGTGGTTGAGTACACGAGTCAAACTTCCTATCTTTAGGGACTTAAAAGGACACACGCCAGCAGGTCAGGCTTGGCGGGCGAATTAGAGGGCTTCAGGGAGCTTCAGGTGACAGCCTGAAGCGGCGAGGGCGCTAAACCAACGAATCAAAAAGAATGAGTGAACAAAAACATACAACAGCCGGGATTCGCTGGTGGTCACCCACCCAACTACTAACCGGCCGGCGTGTGGCTTAAGTACGGCTGAGCGGACGGGAAGCCCTGTTTTCCACACCCTATGGTCGTATGTGCTAGAAGTAACTTCTGACTGGTTAATGTCGAGGGCAATTAGGAGAAAGACCGCTGATCAGCATCGTGGACGAATAATATTTGGTCTTTCCGTCTTTGAGGGAATTGAAAGAGAATCTTATGTGGCACGGATGATCCATCTGCTAGGCTGTAGATATGGCTGGCTTATAATATTTCTGTCCTATTCACTCGGTAAAAAGAGAACCAGAAACATCTCCATGCGAAAGAAAATACTAGGATGGGCCAGAAAAGAAAAAAAATCAATCACTGCATCTACACGGGATTGAACCATGGACCTTTCCATTACGAGTGGAACGCTCTACCACTGAGCCATAGATGCGAGGATGGGAATAAAGTTTCGCCTAAATGTCTTATACACCACAACCACTCCTCGTCTTGATCCGCCACATCTGGAATAGAAGGTTGCAGAGACAGCTCCTTTATCTCCATGATGCAGACTCTCGCTTTGTACCTTGCAAATCTGCTGGCTGTCTATACTGGTATAGAATAGGCGGTAGCATTCCTGGAGAAAGTGACGTTGGCCTCACTCTCTACTGTGCTCTGCAGATGTGTGTACAAAATATTTATAGGATCAATGGTTATATCCAACCTCCACCTCTATGCTGCTACGTGCTGGGTTACCAGACACACGCAAGGATGGGGTCTATGGGTACGAAAGAGCAGAGTTCCTATGTGTAGTTCTTGGGGAATGGCCATGACAATAAATATACATGGTGACGTGCGCTTGGACGTCATGTGTGTTGTTGGTAAGACCATCCATCAAATATATATGTCCATCCCTTATTCAACACAGCATAATGAGAAAGGAGAATCACTTTTTATAATGCCCGTGCTTACGATCCATGGACCGAGGGTTGACTTTGACATCTACGCACTATTGGTAATGGACATGGACGTTGCATTAATGTACCTAGGCCATTGTTGCACATCACGCCCCATGCTGTGGTGTGCATGCTCGATTCTCAGGATATCATGAGATCAGGGTGCTGTAGATGTGAAATCCCCTAGGTCTCAGGATTCGTGAGTCTCCCAAAACCCACACAAGAGAGATAGTCAACAGATACACCAAGCATACCGTCCGTTACGTATAGAGTCACGCAATCAAAAGAGTATAGAGATGTTGATTACCCTTCATCATTCGCTCACAGACATGTACACCAAACAAGAAAAGGGTCCTGAAGACTACACAAGAAAATAACAAAGTATACATTGATGCGAAAGGTAAAAACACGACTTGATCATGTACTCGTCACGAGGAGGCACCGTTAGCAGCTGCCTTTGCGAGCCTTTCCTCTACGCGCTCCTTATGTTGTCGATTCCTCAAATGAACCTCAAAATTGTCGACCGTCATTCCCGGACCGGGAGTATACAACTTACCCGGACAATCGTGACAGCGAATCCGAGGAAGATATTGATACTTCAATCGGTGACCCGGCTGGCTATTTGCGTTCGCGACTGGTAACATTGTCTCCGTATCAACTGCCGTGTAGCGCATCACACCTTCAAACGAGTCGTTTGGATGTGACTTGTTCAAACGGGCAAGACCAGCCGATAGCCAGGCTGGAGGAGGAGGCTACCAAGAGTGATGTTAGTACAGCGACCAAACTGAAATCTGCACAGCTGAAACAGAGCCGTAGATAAAATTGAGTACAACAAAGGAAGGAGGCAACCTACCCCGGGAACGCCTGGTTGAGGGGGATGTGTAGCATCAACAGCCCCAAGCTGTTGTACAGGCCGCTGAGGGAGATGGCCAGCAGTATTCGGTACTTGAATTTGTGGTTTAGGCTGCGATGGCGGGGCCATGCTACTCGGCGTCGGTGTCCTTAATTGAGGTGTGCCGGACTGAGACACAGGTTGGGTGGCTGGCGTAGAGGTAGAAACCGAAGGGTTAGGTAATGTTTGCGGCCTGTTGGCGAGGAATTGGCGAAGTTTCTCTCTCGAGATCTTTAACTTCACAATGAGCTTCTCTTGCTCTTCCATACTTTCTTCCCGGTAATCTCGTCTTCTGGCGGAGACCCGAGGCTCGTGGTGAGGTTCAGGAGTGGCAGAATGAGCCAGACTCGCCCGCAAAGCAGCGTGAGCTGCGCTTGCAGCTCCTCTCATGCCTCTTGTGCGGGCTGTTCCTTGGGCCAGATGAGGACCGATAGCCGGAGAGCCCGTCATCGATGATTCGTCGCTATCCGACTCATCGGACTCCTCACCACCGTCCCGCTGGCCAACTGCAGCGCGTCTGTGCCGACTTGATCCGGATCGTTTGAACACATTGCTCTCTTCCATTGACGCTGCGGTGTTTGGTATGACGGAGGATACAAGTATCGTACGAATGGTGCGTTGACGATCTTTCAAATCTGGCAAGGCTGGGCCACCGCGGCGGTTGACGGAACGTTTCTGCCGACGTTGGTCTCTGGATATGGACACCTCGGTGCGCTCGAGTTCCGCTTCATTCAGCTCGTACAGGTATGGTGTGAATTCCTTGGCAGCTTGGAAGGGTCGGAAAGAGGATGTTAATGGGGAGGGTAAGAATGCGGCCTTGAGGTCAGGATCATCAATCGGACGACCATCAAAAGGATGGGAGAGGATGTAAAGTGATTTGGTAAAGAGTTGCGACTGCTCACGTATCGAATGGGCGATTGCAGTAGTGAACTCGCCCGAGAGAGAGAGGTCATTCGTCATACGGGCAGCGAAATCCTCTGGGGAGTTGAAGGGATCATTGATGTCCCATTCAAACTGATCAATGAGAGTATGTTGTCCGATGGTAATGTTTAGCTTGATAAGAATGCGCATTTCATCGTTCTTGTAAGCGCTGTAGGGCAGATTAGGATCGAGCGCATCCTCTTCCATATATATTTGAGGATAATAGTCCGCAAGTTGCTCTTGAATGCTCCGCGAGATCATCCGTACGAGAGGAGTGCATGTCTCGAGCGGAAGACCTAGATCTTCCACCAACTTCTCGGCGAACAGATCGGGAGAAACGACCCGATCGTGAAGGTTCCATGTAAAGGTATCTCGAATCTTGATCTTCTCCCAATCGATGTCTAAGCGAATAGGGACCAAATCCTCCACCTGCTCACTCTGGATTTTCATGTCCTTGCGCGCAACTCGTAACTCCCTAGTCTTTCTATTTCCCGGTCGCCGCCGATGTGAGGGATATAACAATTGCGGATGCTGATTGCGCAGATCAGTCCTGGCATTCCCAAATCCTTCGTACCCAACGCCGTATAGGGCAGCCGGATTCCCATGGGTATCGCGGCGCAAGGCCAGATAGTAGTCTCGCTCCGCGCGCTTCTGTTGAAGCAACTCCTGGCTGGGATTGTGCCATGCTACCAACGCTGAATGGCGGAATTCTCGTTCGACATACTGTTTGAGAAGTATCTTATCCGCCGGAGTTTCACGTACTCGGACAGGTAGGTCTTCTGTAGAAGAGGAGGTTTGAATAACGGCACCGTCGCGAGATCGCTTCCTACTTGTTGCTGAACCGTTGGCGTTGCTCAACTGAGGATTGGGCGATGTCTTGCCGTTCAAGGAGCCATGACTAGCTTCGGCTGAGGGAAGGGAGACACCCGAAGCTGCAAGGACAGCTTTCGCATTCTGTTTCCCTTCGGCTATGGCATCCACCCCATTCGCTCCATATTCTGTTGAGGAGCCGGTCGCATCGTTTCCTTCGCCCCCCGCGCTGGGGCCTGGCGCGCTCAGGGCATTTTGAACGCCATCAGCCTGGAAGTCGCCGAGAGATTGTCCAGGCTGCGAATGATCGGGGAGAGGCATGGCCAGAAATTTCGTCTAATAGTTGCAGTTCTTCGCACAAAAGCAGGAAACACGGGTATCAATCGCAAGACGAGGTAACATTCCAATCAGATACTGAAAGACGATGGTGGCACCCAAGAACCAACGTGGCCTACAACAGCATCCTTAGAGGGAACCTGCAATAGAAAAGGCGAGTCAATATGGGCAGTTCAAGCTGGATACACGAGCGTGAGGCTATTCAAGACGCGACGCTGCATTGAACGGGGACGCGATGCGCCCCATTGAACAGAAAGAGCCACATGTCCCGAGAAAGCCAAGAATCGCCACAATCAGAGCCGTCTGCCCACGTAATCAATGGGTGATGACTAGACGGACAAAAAATGGTCGCGAAAGCGGAGGGTAGCAAGCGCGCAAGTAATGGGGTTAGGGAAAAACATACCAAGGAACTCCAAAGGAGGTAAATTAGAGGATAATTAAAAGTAAAATAATGACAGAAAGCTACCACCAGGCGCAGACACGCCGGACAGAGGGTTCCAGGGCAGGACGAGGCAATGGATGGGTCTGCGTGCCGGTTCTGGGTCTTGCGCTTTGCCGCGAGAAAGTGAGAATAATCAGCGCTCGGAAGAAGGCGGCTAATCAGCTGATGGCGCACCGAGGAACGGGCAAGTATCGATGAATCTCAGCAATCTGGTTTGCTTGTCCTGCTTACACTGACCCCAGAAAGTCGGTCGACTGATTTGTTTCTCCTTGCGTGGGGTTCTTTCTTCTCGCCGGCCTTTCTCTGAGTCCTCTGTTTCGCGCTATGACGGAGAAATAGGGGGGAGGAAAAGAGGAGAAGGACAGACACAAGAGGCCAGAGGGAAAAGCCAGCAGAAAACTGGGCGGGCAGAAAGGGCGTTACAAGTTATCCGTTCCCGTCATGGAGGGCCAGAGAGGGTAGGGGGAGGAGCTTCCGGGCACCAGCAAGCAGCAATGGTAGAGACTGCTTCTACGAGAGAAACTCTCGTACAACCTATTTGGGAACATCTTGAAGCCATCACGCATCTTTCTAGTCATTTTCTCTTGGGATATCGCGAAGTTAGTTACAAATGTTACAGTATGGATCTTGAAAACCTGCCTTACATACTTGCGGTCATGTATGGTAATAATACTGCCCCACTTACTAGGCTATTTTGGAGATCATGTGATTGTATCATACCATTAAAGGTTAGCCAGGATAAGACTACGCTCAACATGATACGCTAGTCTCTTTATTGGTATCTCATTCTCAGTATCAGTTTGCTTCAACCAAAGTTACTTTGAATATCACAAGCGTCAATCCAGGATCTCAAACGCGATTTATCCATCCATGGATGCTCATGCAGACCATGAGTAGCACATGTCAATGGCATGAACAAAGCTTAATCGTGGAAGATATCACCATTGGACCATGTCCAGTGCCTGCAGACCTCAGAACACTTCTCGGTGACTTCCAGTTACAGCCCTTGAAAACCTCAGGCCAAGCGGATCCAGCTCAGTCGTACAAGGTGACGTCGGCAACAACGGCCCTGTGATCTGACAGGTACACGCCAGAATCGAACCGGTTCGCTAACACGGCGTATCCGTTGACCTTCCAGGACCCATGTTTATTCTTCCCTGGTCCCATCAGGATATAATCAATGCGCGTGGGATCCTCCCCCTCATATCCGAAGCCTGTCCATGTAAAATAATCCCCGTAGTGCTGACTCGGTTCCACAACCTTTGCCGTGTCGACCAAGGAGGATTCCGACCCTGTCAAGACATTATAGGCCTCCTGCGTCTCTTGACTGTTGAAATCGCCTGTAAGGCAAACCCCTGCGATGGAGTCCCTAAAATCGCCGCTTCTGTAGTCATCGATCTTCTGAAGAATGATCTTGGCAGCCTCGAAGCGTGACCGAGATCCCTGGTCGTCTAGATGAGTATTCATCGCAAGGACGGTAAGGCGAGTCATGATGTGCGTGAAGACACCGATGGTCTAGTATGGCGTCAGCTTAGTGAAAAGGCTTTCGTCACAGGCCTAGTGTCTTACCAGAATCCGTATCGACGCGGCATCCCAGCCCTTGGATGGTTTGCTCGGCGTTTCCGACAACCAGACACTTTCCCAATGACGAAGCTGCCAAACAGACGGTTGATAGAAGATAGGCGAGTATTCTCCTGCTTTGTGACCGTCGTCTCTACCGACTCCGATGTATTCCCATTGTTGTGTCTCGGAGGCGCTTGTTGGGGGGACAGTAGAAGAATGTTGGTTCAGTCCAGATAGAACATCGACCAGTTGATTATGAAGCACTTCTTGTAGACAGATGAATGAATCCTGATTGCGCGTATTGAAGAGCAGTTCATTTAAGAGAGGCTGCTTGCGATCATCCCATGGCAGCTCACCCTTGAACGGGGAGCCGGTTGCATAGCGGATATTGTGTGTTAGTATACGTAGTGGAAGTTCGATGGTTGATTTCATGATGAAAGGCTCAAATCAAGGTCGTAGACTAGTACGATTGCACTCTGATGATCCCTAAAAACACTACGAAGGATTAGAGAGGTATCTGAAACTGAACCAGGGCGGGTTCGGAGCTGATGAGGAGAATCTTGACACAGGAGACTATGATTGGCCAAGGAAATGCTTTCTCCTCATTTGGATGTTGTGCCTCCATGCAAGGCATTGTTTGGGCATTCAGACACCTTCTGACGATGCCTTCCAAATCATGTGCCTTATGTCTTGCTTTATTATCGTCTTGTACACGATCATCTCGACTTCAATCCAACTAATTAGTCCATCGAAAACCCTGTTCTAGTTGACTATTCGCCGACGACATAAAGCAGCTAAACACTATGATGCATGATATTCAATGACCCCTATGAAAGGCAATGCAACTCCTCAGTGATCAGGAAGCGCTCTGTTTGGGTTTGACCCAGAATGATAGCTGCAGCCTGTTCCCAAATCGCATAAGCAAGCATTTGAATATGGATTGCCGAAGCAAATGGGGTTATACTCGCGTCGGCAGTCCTCAGCCTCTCGATCTCCTTCACGCGCAGCTCACTCTTGTCCACGATACTCGTGTACGTAGTATCTGCAATACGAATTAGAGTTCTGTAATTATGATTGCAGTTTTAGCTGTAACAAGCTCACAGACAGATTCGACGCCAACGTACGCCAGTCATCGATGGGCCAGGCCATCTATCTCCTCGTCGATTGCACTCGCAGAGAGTGGTCACGCACCATCCTCGACAGTTTCTTCTTGAATTATGCTTTGTCTGGCTGGTGATTCGCGCAATACATGGCGCAGCCGTCGTAGGCCCTCCCGCCAGATATGCTTGTCGGCCTCAGTCGTGAAGCAGTCAGGGCCGACCACAGGGCTGCTCCACGGATCATTATCTCGTAATGTGATGGAGGCTTCAGGATGATGGCACCAGGCCGACAACTGGGTAGCGATATATGACCAACATCCATCTCTATGGCGGGCTGCTCTTCGTGTTGTGCAACGTACATTGCAATAGTCTCAACGTGGGCATAGGGGGATGTTTGTCTGGGTCCTGACCCGGATTTTCCATGGCTAAAGCTCCACGAAGAGGAGCTGGCTGCATGGCGATGAAATACATGGAAGGCCTCTAAATAGAACGGGATCTCTGTAAAAATGAATAATGCACGGTATTCCAAAGCAGAAGCTTCATTTTTTGTGCATGAAAAAGCATAGCACATAAGTTCAAACACACATCTTACTTTCCTTGAAGCAGCTTTCTTTTCTGAGCTCTACCTCTTACATGGTCACTGTTGAGCCGCCAAGATACATCAGATACTTCCATGCTATGGTATGTTGGCGCTGGCCTGTTGAGCTATGACGTACATATATATCCGAAGGCAGTCATGCCACAGTAGATCATTTTCGATAGGATGCGGATCAATTGACAATTACACCCTTGGTGATCGATCAAAAGCATGGTAATAAGCATGGTAATCACGCAGTATATGATCGCTTTTCTTTTGTAATGGCCTTCATCGAGCCACCTACCATGGCTATCAGTGTCTGCTGGAATTGCAAGAAGCTAAGCTCCGCAAGCTCTTGTCAGCTTCTCCAGGTGACAAGAATAGTTTACCGTACTGTGCATACAGAATTACCCCGTTTCGACGACACTAAACCCAAGTGGGCCAAATCTGCACCATCCACCGCCCCCAAGCCCTACTTCGACGACGTAACCAACGAAAGGGAAAATCCAGAAAAAGCCCCGCCGGGCCGTAATGAACGATGCGTAGTGCACACGACTCGATCGAAAGTTACCAGGTCAAAAGTAGCCCAATTCCTCTCCTCCTCTTGCTACTCTCCTAGTGTACTGAGACGAGTGTTTTATTTAAGAACTTCTTTGATTGTCGCTAGCCCTCGCATCGGTGCGAGGACATAACATATAATTCACAATGGCTGAGAACCAGGCCCCAGAGGTTGGTAAGTGTTAACCGCTGATATTTTGACCCCTCCTCTTGTGCCCATTTTGCAAAGCTCCAACAATTGTGTGGATTTACCACGATTTACCACCGCCCTCATCGTCATCGCCCAAAGTGGACGGAGTCCAGTAGGTCAAACTAGCAGCTATATGGCTCTAGCAATCGATAAGGACTACCATACCGAGTCCCTTGTGACCTACTGGATTTACCTATATTTTTTCACCCGCGATAGCTGACGATTGCGTTGCTTCTGGTCAATTCTAGACTACACCCTCAACAACCCCGACACATTGACCAAGTACAAGACTGCCGCGCAGATCTCCCACAAGGTTATCGAGGCCGTTACAGGTGCGTCTGACAAAGCTATCGTGTCACAAGATTGCTCGATGCCTAATACCGGTTTACAGCATTGTGCTTGGAGGGAAGCAAGATCGTTGAAATCTGCCAGAAGGGCGATGAGCTCCTAGAGGAAGAGCTCACCAAGGTCTATAAGGGCAAGAAGATCACCAAGGGTATGTCACTACCATGATCGCCAGATTTTCCACATTGAGACCCGTCGTACGATGTTGACATAATATGCTTGACAACAAAAGGTATCGGCCACCCGACAACTGTGTCCCCAAGCTCCTATGTGACACCGTACACCCCCCTGGTGTCGGACGCTCAAGAGGCTGAGACCACCCTCAAGGCCGGCGAGATCGTCAAGATCCAACTCGGCGCTCAGATCGATGGATTTGGTACCATTGTTTGCGACATGGTCGTCGTTGCCGACAAGGAATCTTCCAAGGATGTTGTGACTGGTCGCGAGGCTGACCTCATCCACGCAACCCACTACGCAAACGAGCTTCTGCTGAGACTCATGGTCCCCCCAGGTCTTCTGGCTAGCGGTACCGAGGAGGAGAAGACGAAGGCCGCTGCCGAGAAGGCTCCTACTCAGAGCCAGATCTCCGCCCTCATCGAAAAGGTAGCCAAGGCCTACGACTGTAATGTTGTTGAGAACACCACCAGCTGGTTGTTTGAGCGCAACGAGATCGAGGGTGGGAAAAAGATCATCCTTGCCCCCGGCTCTGGCGTCAAGGGTGAGGGTATCCCCGACGTTGGCGAAGTCTGGGGTGTTGAAGTTGGTCTCTCCCTTGGTTCTGGAAAGGTCAAGACCCTTCCTCTCCGCGCTACCTTGCATCGCCGTACCACTACCACCTACATCCTTAAGAGACCCAGCTCCAGACAGACTCTGTCCGAGGTTGTCAAGAAGTTTGGCACATTCCCCTTCAGTTTGCGACAGCTGGAGGACGAGAAGTCTGCCAAGGTCGGTGTTGTGGAGTGTGTCCGTGGCGGTGTCTTGAGACAGTACGAGCCCGCTGGTGATGCCGACAACGCTCCTGTTTCCCGTCTGTTGACGACCATTGGTATGTTCATCACGTTCAACGGGATATTCCCGCTTTCGCTAACGAGAATTGTAGCCATCACAAAGAACGGCATTACCAGATTGGCCGCGCCTAACCCTCCTGACCTGTCTAAGTTCCAGACGGACAAGAAGATCGAGGATGAGGAGATCCTGAAGATTCTCGAGCGTCCTTTGGCCAGAAACACTGGCAATAAGAACAAGAAGAAGAAGAAGCCTACTAAGGACTCCAAGGATGAGGAGTAGACGAATCAATCAAAAAGATTCGATTTCTTCAGCTCCTAATCGCATCCTCTTACAACCAATGTTCTCCCTTTCTGCCGGCTTCAAATGGGAGGACTGCAGCAGGAGGCATGAAGAGTGCCTTTAAATGACAGTCGAAAAGGAGCCCGGGGGATGCACTGGCCAGTGGGGTGTTTTAGGCCCGTGGCCCGGCCGAATATGGATGCCGTGCAGCAATATGAGATCAATGTTGCCCATCAGGCTCTTTGCAATTTCTGTCCCGTAATCACTTGCAAATGAAAATGAAAAAAACAGTATATGAGCTGGGTATATATCAAATGAACTGTCATTGCGCCTTTTTTTTCCGAAGTCGTTTGTCTCTTGTAGCCGGCGTATTCCGGAGATTCCGGCAAGACCTTCGACATGGTAGTTCCTGTCTCTCCTTGCAACCCTGCATGTGGGATATATCTTATGAGGTTCCAACTTTCGTAAAAGTGAGTACGTGCTCGGCGATAGTGTGAAGTGAGCCTTTGTCCTGGCTTTAACCATGTACAAGGTCACGAAGCTGATGAACCTTTGGAACGGGCTACTCCAGGAGCGGAGGAATCCAGACATCTCATTTCAGGCCACAGTACGTGGTCTCCAAGAGTACAGATGGACCACGAGCCAACATCTACAGCGTCATGGGCTATACTCTATACTGCTCGAGGGGCAGTTGCCACCTCTCTGCCGGCAGTTGCCATCTTCCTCATACATTTGATCTCAGGGAAGACTGCTCTCTTCTTCACTCTCTAAGAAGATATCAATCTAGTAGCGGTACTCAAATATTGATTCCCTGCAAGAGAATATCTACTTAAGTACTGTGTAGCCTCATAAAGTCAGGGTAAAGGCGTTCAGATCGACTGTGTCCTCGGTAAGGCGAAATGTCCAATGTAACCCAGATATTGTAATTCAATTTTTGTACGTGAGCCAGGGATATCTCTCTATTAGCTAGATGAGTGAATCGTTGCATGCTGTCTGTCGAGCTCTTTTTTGCTGACAGGGTGGTTGGCAGTGGGTGGGCCAGTGTCGTTGGATGGGCCGCTCTTTTTCTCTCTTCGAATCCTTCCTTCATCCCCTTCACATTCTCCTATCCCATAATCCATATTCCCCACGTACCCCAAGAGAGACCATTCGCATTGTCTCTACTGCGACAAGTAGCTTGGGTATCAGGGTGCCTTTGCTGCTTTTCTTGATTTGGCAGCGAGTGACGCCGGTTTCGCGCTTCTCCCCACCTCTCGCGTCTTCGACATTCACAGTCTCGAGATCGCTTGGGGCATCTGCACTTTCTTCCCACAACCTCTCCTCCAAATTTCTACTTCTTTTCTCATCTACTTGTCCTTTGTCTAGATGCCCTCTGGATGGTACTGCTCGGAGATCGACTCTTTTCATCTACAGCTTCTTTCGACATACGGACCGTACTATCTCTATCATCTAAACTCTTCTCTCAGCTACTTCACCTGGAAGCATCAGAGGACTCACGAGCTGTGTCTCTCGCCCCAAGTGTCTGCGTTGGGGAATTTCCTCTTGTAACACATTTGTCAGGAGCTTGTTGCTTCTAGCAGTGAGACGAGAGCTCGCTCCTTTTCTTCCACCTTTTGCTCGTACATCTCTCTGTCTCCTTCGTCTCTCGTCCCCTTTCTTACTTTCATCATTTCCATCTGCTACATAACGTTTGGTTTCTGACCAACTTGGACTCGCTGTCTGAATTCGGGAAGTCGAGAGAAAAGAAAGCTGCAGACGTCCCAAGGTGGATAAGATTGCTCTTTTAAGATCTCTTTCCACTCCCTCAGTCAACATTCGTCCTCATTGATTTAACTACCAAGCTCTGCTTCAGGACATATTTCACCGGTTATTCAACCTCCCTGTCTGTCTACTGATTACCAAGTACAGATCGAGCTTGTCTCAGTAAGTTCTCCAAGAGTCTCATCAGTGGTTGCCACTTTCACATCCTCTGTGTTGCTTCTCTTTCCTACCAACCTGCTAGCCACTTTGCATCTTCCAAATTATCACTGTAGCACTGTGGTAAAACCAATCGTGTTCTCTGTCCTTCCGAAACGAGAAACCAGCAACCTCTCGTTGCGCCAAAGGACGCTCCTTTTCTGATCACTCTCGTCTCTTTCTTTTCCATCATCAACCCGCAAAATTGCCTCTTCCTTGCCATCGTCGTTCTTTTCACGAGGATGTGAGCTTTGAAAGCATTGAGGGACTGTCTATCTTGAAGCCTATCGAGAGCGTCTTGTCTCACATTTCATCACAAACTCTTATCCACTACAAAGCTTCTGGGACGCCCTGCTGACCGCGCGAAATGCATCTGCTTGACAGGCTCATACTGGCTTAGCCGAAGGGATCAAGTGACTCTAGTAGTGAGCTTTTGTAGACGAGAAAGCATCTTATCTTTTACCTTGACATATCTGCCTGAGCGATCTATTAACGCCCCTGGAGAGGGATATCAGAGAAACGTGAAGCATTATCAGGTAAGCAATTTCCCTCAGAATCAAGAAGCTGAGCTTTCATGATTTGAAACCTATTCAAATATCTGAGTCTACTGGATCTAACTTTGAAATGCTTAGATTTTGGTGTGGCACATTTCGCGGTTGTAGCGGCGAACGCCCCTTAGAAGGTCTGATTGGGGAACTTTGGCCCTCGAAAACTCCCGTCGCTTTCAACTCCGCAATCTTCCCTTCCATCAACCCGCAGAGAGCGCGCGGGCTGGCCACGATCCCAAACAGCAACGCTGGGCATGCTTGCTGTTTGTCTCGGGCCATAGTCAATCAGTAAGTTTGCGTACATTATCCATTGATATGCGTTCTTGTACATTCTTGCGAGCTAACTTTTCTATCGCCAGGCGCCGCAGCCTTCAAGCCCTGCGGTACAATAATGTCTCCGACTCTCCGCTCAGCATCCCGTCCCCCGTCCAGCGATTCGCGCCAGTCAACTCCGCTAGATGCGCCTGTATCTAATAAACGATCTTCATCATTTACTGAACCTGCAAGACCGCCAAAACGTCGACGCAGGGGACGGAACGCTCGAGTGGCTACCGAGCCTCCTCAAGACCACCTGGCCAACAACGTGGAGGATATTTCGAAAAGTGCGGCGAACTCGGGTCCTAATATGAAATTCCCTGGAGATCAACTGGCCTGGGTTGAACCTCCATTGAGGATCCCTGCCCCGAGTTACGCGGATACGCCATGGTCGGCAGTCTCGAACGCGGCGAATCCCATCTTGGCAACCATGCGTCCTCTCGGTTCCATGCCGACAACTGCGGACCTACGCAAAGCAGGCCTGAAGCCCACGAAACCCTCCAAACCAATCTCGTCTTTGGCTAAGGAACTCCTCGCGTTGCAAAACGACATGTCGCAGAACGATGATCCTACGTCGCAGAATGAAGAAACTCCAGCATCGCAGAACCCGCCAACGCCAGGGTCGCAGAGCGAAACTCCTAAGGTGTCGCAGAGCGAAGCTCTCCAGTCGTCACAGAACGTAAATCTGCAGGCGTTGCCGAACGGAGAAATTGATGCGCAGACGCCGCAGGAATCCGCGACGCCTGCAGACAAAACTCAGTCCGAGGATTCTAAACCCTGCTCCTACGAAGAAATTGACGCGTTGCTGTCACTTCCCGTCTGCAATTCGGTGAAATTGGATTTAGAGCAAACCAAAAATGCCATGAAGGAGACACTACGCATGGCCGCAGACACGGATAATAGCAAGGTCGTCAAAAGCCTGTTCAATCTTTGGACAAAGGCGACTCAGGATCCGATGGTCATGTCTGTGGTTCATGGAATGTGCAAGAAGGAGGTTGGGGATCGTAATACGAACGCCTTTCATGACCTGATCCGTGCTGCGTGGCGAGAAATTCGGAAGGAGGACGCAACGGATGTCTCGGCTGCGGCTGCACCGCCTGACATGATTCGAACCCAATCCGACACCACTGCTACTTCGTTGTCGTCTGCTGTGTCGCCTGAAGCTCAAACATCTGCTCCAACCACAGTGCCAACCCCCGTCATTGTGGCGGCGGCTGCAACTCGCTCGAAATTGCGTGCTAAGGGCAAGCAAGCGAAGACCAATGCCACAAAAGCAGCCAATAAAGATAAATCGAAACAGACTCGCCAGTCCGCTTTCCCCTCGAGTGATGCACGCAAGCGGGCATTAGAAGATGACACGGAGTTCTCCGAAGAGACCGTCCGTGCCAAACGGCAGCGCCTGCAACAGCCTCTCCCCGATATTGTTCCTGAAGAAAGTGGCGTTCGCTCTACTCTGTCCCATGAGCAGCCTGGTAATGCTTTGTCGCCTTTATTTCCATCCATTAGTGAAGTTCAGACCGCGCCTGAAGTTCCCTTGTTGAAAGTCAGGGAACAATCAGAGTCTGCCGAAAGCAGTGGTGCTGAGGATAACCGGCGCCTGACCCCTACATTTAGGTACGATTCTCTTTTGGCATTTTGGATCGTTCGGACTGAATGAAGCTGACCAAGTTGTAGCAGGGAAGGATCATTGGACAACAGCGATCTCTGTCGGGAATGCGGTGGCCGAGGACAGTTGCTCTGTTGCGATGGCTGCGTGAACTCCTTCCATTTTTCATGCCTCGACCCCCCTTTGGATCCCGCGAATCCTCCGGAGGGAGATTGGTTCTGCCCAAAATGTTCTGTCTCGCGGCCCATCCGCATGATGGTGGATAAGCTTGACAAACTAGCGAACAAGGAGTTTATGCTACCCGTCAGTATCCGAAATTACTTCGCTGGCGTCAAAACTGGATCGCGACCTGAAGATAAAAACGACCGTACGAGGTACACCGAATGTTCTTACAATCTTGTCAACGGCGGCGTCGGACGAGGAATATGCAATGGATTTTACGACGATCCCAACCTCCGCAAGATCACAGACTCGGATGGAAATCTCATCATCTGTTACGCCTGCGGTCGCCCAAGCGATGGAGATAAACCTATTCTACAATGTGACTTTTGTTATTTGAATTGGCATATGGATTGCTTAGATCCGCCTATGGCCAAACCGCCCCAGCAAGATCACAAGTCCGATAAACGCTGGCGTTGCCCGATGCACGTTGAACACGAAATGTATTATTACCATTGGAACGACGAGGGAGCCTATGACGCGCGAAAGATCCGTCGACCTGCGCGACCACGGATGATTGACATTGAAATTCTCCCCAGCGAAGAGGAATCAGAACGGATTGAAAATGAAGAAGATGTAGGAGGAGGCATCCTTTACCGCGTCGCCGAAAAAGGGGTAGAAGCAGCCTTCCTCGCGAAAATCAAACGGTCAGTCATCCTACTAGCTCTTTGACTAGTATCCCCTTCTGAGCTTGACTGATTATCTGGACAGGGAAAATGCCGAGTTTGAGTACAACAAACAGCAGGCAGATAAGTACTTTGAAGAAGCTAGAGCACAACGCGATGAACTTCACGCACGAGCTGTCGAATTCTATGGCGCCCAGCGACCTGGTTCTTTGCCGAATGCCGCTGAATCGATTGACAACTCGCGATCAGCAGCCGATCGCGAAGCTGCCGCGAATCTTCTTGCCTTCGCTGGTCAGAATCAGACAGAACCTGCGGACGATATCGCTCGGGTTACTTTCCTCATCGACGCGCTGCGAGCACAGGCGCCTAATGATCTCCCCGAAGCACATACTGAACTCGAATCTCTGCGTAACCTGCAGCAGCTGATTGAACGACGTATTCAAGCGTTGGCTGCTCAGGCGGAGCTTGAAGCTACTACTGCACAGGTCTCTGAGGCTGCTAGTTCGCCTATTCCGAATTCTGCGATCGAGCATGGCTCCAAATCGGATGCGCGGGTCGGGGCAGCTTCTGCTTGAACTCAGGCTTTATCCCTCTTTTAATTTCATTCACCAAGGCGCTAAGTGATTGTTCTTTCTTGACTTGACTTGAAAAAGGGCTTTTCACATATTCTGGGCGTTGTGATATGCATATCCATTTTGCATCAAGGTCCTTGGGTTCCTCAACTGGCGTTGGAGCATACCATGCATCTCATTGTTGAGCGTGTTTACACTTGTCCTTGTGTTTCCCTATCTGGAGACACGCACTTTCTTACCCCTTCTTTTTGCTTTCTTCAATTTCGTCTTGTTTCCGGGGGCTGGACCAATCGGCAGACAGTCTTTCCGGAGGATCAGCCGGAGTTCTGTGAAAGTGCTTGTTTCCCCGTTCCGAATCCGCCACCTGGCGTGATTCGCGAGCGTTGATGGGAAAGACACCGAAGTCTTCCGGCAATCTTTGGATTACCCTGCTGCCAATACTGGGCCAGCCTCCGGTTTGCCATGCGCAAACTTACTTAACGTCGTGACGATCTTTGTTTTATCGACTGGCCACTGGACCTCCCACCCTTCACCTGGGGTTCGGTCGAACAGGCCAATGCGCCCGAGTCTCTTGTACAATAGATTACTACCTAGATTTTTAGTGATCTGCCGGTATGGACGGCGTTGATTTTGATCCTATGATCGAACCTGAATCGAGTCTTCACAATCTCGTTTGAGCAGGCATATCGGTCGTAATGCATACAATTGAACAAGCAGGTTACTAATGAATACGTCAAATCCGCTTCAACTTAATATACAAAATATTCGGAGCCATTGAGTAAATGCAGAATTATGCCAGACACCCCGAAATTGCATGGTAAGCGCACAAGGCTTGATCAAACTCAAACTGCAGATTTATGGTCGCGTGCACAGTACCAAGTTGAAAGTCCGATAAAAAAAATCGAAGAGGTACTAGCCAAAGAAATAGATCATATTTGTTTCACCATGTCATCATGAAGAGCGGAAGGTTTAATACAAAGACAATCAGACTCCGTAACTCGGGTAGTTGAGACGCTCAAAGGAACTTCTTGGGCATGTTCGCACGGCGACGCTTGTAGATGATGTAGGAGCCGGCAAGGAGGAGTTGCACGGCGATGACGAGACAGATGAAGAAGCCCATGCGAGGGGTTGAGGCGGTAATGACTGTTAACGCAGATCAGCTGGCGAGGTCCCAATCCGCATGCTTGTTATTCACACAGAAAGGTTCTGCGTTTTATGGAGGGAATACGCATCGGATGCTTACCATTGAGAAGTGTGCCTTGCAGATTCTCAGTCAGGCTCATGTGCGAAGACCTCAGGGTCTCGTGCAGCTGATTGAAGCGGTCGCGGTAGTCTTTGCCTTCCAAGTCACGCTGAATGTTCTGCAGCAACTGCTCGATCTTCTGCAACCGGGCATCAAGATTGGCCACCTGCTCCTTGGTAGCCATCTTCTGAAGCTCTATATGGCGACTTTCCGCTTTGGAGGACAGGCTTCTGACGTCGTGGGCAATGCTGTTAGTGGCGTCATTGAGGCTTTGAATACGGCTGCTGAGATCAACGAGTTGGTCAGAGTTTACTGAGCGAGGGTCAACGGGACGAGCCTGTCCTTGGTTGACATTCGGTTGTTGGTTGGCTTGCGGCTGAGCAGGAGGTGCTGCGTTCGTTCCAGAAGCACTAGGCTGCACGACAAACTTGAAGATCTCGAAGGAATCTGGGTTCTCAGGAGTAGCTGCCGTTATACCGAAGTTGTTACCAGTAGGAAGGGCGACCTGCACACGATTAGAACACCAAGGTGGCATGGCTGATGAGTTTGAAGTACCTTGTTTGTTGAGAAGCAAAGCTTGTCATCCACGGTTACTTCAAGAACAGAATTAGTGTGCTTCAAGCGCACGATAGAGGGACGGCCGAGGTTTCTGTAAGCATAGTCGCAGTGTCCAAAAGCCAAACTGTCAACGCTTCTATGGCTCTTGTAGTCAGTCGTTCCGTCATTGAGGAAGCCTCGAATGCTTCCGCCCTAAATCAGAGTCAGCATTACAGAAGACTGTTGCAAGATTGAATTCGCGTACTCTTCCCCCATGTGTGTCAATGACAAGTGCAAAACCGTCGAACTGGCCAGCAGTGTAGATGCTAGAGGAGCCAATCTTGCTTCCTCCATCTTTCACATACCATAACTGGAGATTGCCACCTCCCCTCTCAATACCAGTGGCTCGAAACTGAAATTCAACTGACCATTCTGGCTGAGATAGGCTATAGCTTGGTCAGCTGCCAGTAGATCAAGGAGTGAGCAGACTACTTGAGAGAGGGGTTGTGCTTACGGGGACTGTGACCAGACATAACCTCTTGTGTTTCCTGGGTAGGGAGGAGTGAGAATGACTTTGTTGGAAAGCTAGATCCGGTCAGTTTTTCTAAGCTGATACAAGTCAAACAAAGGGCATAAAAGAGCGCACAATCTGAGGTGTATGGCCCTCTCCCCCAACCAGCCAACCAGGGATGGAATCTCTGTCTGGCGATATACTAAGAAATCCATTAGAACAGATGTGATATTTTCGTAGAGGAAGGGACGCGTACGTATGACCATAGCCAAAGCTAGAGCTTTCAATCACAGATTGCGCTGTAGCAGCAGCGACGAGGAAGGATAAGGAAGCTAAGCTCCGCATTGCAATTGTTTATCAGGGATGTTGATCCGGGAACAGGGGTGTTGTAGAGAATGAAAATAGAAATGAGAAAGCGGAGACGACTGATCAGACCAAAACAGAATCGAAATTCTCAACCGTTGAGATCTACAATAATAGGTGATAGAAAGATGAGAGACAGTTTGTCAGAGTGATCTTCACTGATCTGAAGGAGCTCTCCGATTCAACAGCGCGGAGATGATGCGCGAGGTGGTCCACCCAATTACAATGGCGATCACACAGTAGCGGACTTCTCTAGCAACAGAAACAGCAGCTGGGGAGAATTCGACAAAGTGTTGGATTTTGAGGTTCGAGAGAACGACTGAATGACGAACTCCCACGTCCGAAGCCAGATCCATTCAAAATAAATTGTCGCAGGTGTCTAATCCGTTTCAGAAGCTCCAACTTTAAAGGGACACACTGTCCTTTGGAGCTCCGCTGTTGTTCATCATGTCACGTGAAATTTTCCCCCAGAATCACCTCCCGCGATGAGCATTTCCATGGACTGCAAGATGATTGCTGAATCTTTGAACGATCAGCCCTCCCTGAACTAATCCTTTTGACGGCGCATCATGCGCTACAGCTCTAATGGCTGATATTTATCCTTCATTGGCGCAATGCGCAATTGTCGCTACGGCTTTCAAGATTCTACTCTTCCCCGCCTAGTGAGTTCCTACCGTCGGAAGGAAGCTGAGGATGGAGTCAATTGGGCGTCGGAACTGACGTTTCTTTGCAATACTATACAGCAAATCAACCGACTTTGAAGTGCATCGGAATTGGCTTGCTATCACACATTCGTTGCCGGCTAAGGAGTGGTACTACGAGGTTCGTTGAGCTTTCCGCATAGTCTACACACAGTTGACAATGCGCTGACGGGATGATTGTCAATAAGAAAACATCAGAATGGACTCTCGACTATCCGCCCTTCTTTGCAGCTTTTGAATGGCTTCTATCGCAAGCGGCTCGCTATGTGGATCCCGCAATGTTGATCGTTAAGAATCTCGAGTATGATTCATGGCAGACAACCTATTTTCAGAGAGCCACTGTCATTCTGACTGAGCTTGTGTTGCTCTATGCTCTGAACCGGTGTGCACCAATTGTAATCTTTCTTAATTGAAGGGATTGCGACTAATGGAGGGTATCATAGATTCATCAAATCCGCAGCTCAAGCCAACAAGCACCTTGCGCATATCGCGAGTCTTTCGATCTTTTTGTCCCCTGGGCTGCTCATCATTGACCACATTCATTTTCAATACAACGGCTTTCTGTACGGCATTCTCGTCCTATCGATCGTGCTGGCGCGCAAGCAATCGACCCTGCTCTACAGTGGTATCTTGTTCGCAGTCCTGCTGTGCTTGAAGCACATCTACCTTTACCTTTCGTTAGCCTACTTTGTTTACCTGCTGAGAGCCTACTGTCTCGATCCGAAGTCCATCTTTCGACCAAGGTTCGGCAATATCTTGAAACTCGGCTTGAGCGTCATTGGTGTTTTTGGCATAGCTTTTGGTCCATTCGCTCGTTGGAACCAGCTGCTCCAACTGAAGGACAGGCTATTTCCATTCTCGAGAGGACTCTGCCATGCTTACTGGGCACCGAATATCTGGGCAATGTATTCTTTCGTAGATCGTGTGCTAATTCCGCGTGAGTACAGTCATTCTTCGACTGCACCTGTGCAGATTTGCTCACCATGACAGTCGCTCCACGCCTGGGCCTTCCGATCAACCATGAGGCTTTGACGAGCGTCACGCGCGGTCTTGTCGGAGATACATCCTTCGCCGTACTTCCAGAGATCAGCAAGGAACAAACATTTGCGTTGACGTTCTTGTTCCAGTTGGTAAGCCCTTCCTACACCTGCTCGACACTCGATATCGATAACCTAACCGGCGCGTAGCTTCCCCTAATAAAACTCTGGGTTCATCCGGACTGGGACACGTTCGTTGGTGCTATCACTCTATGCGGTTATGCTTCATTCTTGTTTGGCTGGCACGTTCATGAGAAAGCTGTTCTCCTGATCATCATTCCATTCAGCTTGATAGCGCTCAAGGACCGACGCTACTTCAGCGCATTCCGACCCCTCGCGGTCGCAGGACACGTTTCACTATTCCCACTGCTTTTCACAGCAGCCGAATTCCCGTTGAAGACCGTGTATACCGTTTGGTGGCTGGTTCTTTTCCTGTTCGTGTTTGACCAAGTCGCCCCGGTCTCCGAGCGGCCGCGGATTTTTGTTTTTGACCGCCTGTCCCTGCTATACCTGACCGTGGCTATCCCGTTGATCATATACTGCTCATTGGTGCATCAGCTCATTTTCGGATGGGACCGGTATGAGTTCCTTCCGCTGATGTTCATGAGTAGCTATTCTGCTCTGGGGGTAGTCGGCAGTTGGGTCGGGTTTATGGTGGTCTACTTCACCGCATAATTTTTTTATTAAAAATACGAACCCAAAGTTTTATCCAGTGGTGTATGTATTATCCTCTTCTTAGACGCTGTACACAGAACCCCCAAGTACCATCAAGCTGTCAAAGCCGGCAGATATGATGTAATGAATCAGAGCTTCGTGTTTGCTCTGTTTGCTCTAACCACGTGTTCTGGGGACTGACCCACTTTGATCACCCAAAACGCAAAGTTTATCAGGGGCTAATCTAGAAAAAGCTAGACTAGCCTGTTCTGATTTGAGCTACCTTTGGTTTTCGTGATGTATGGATTTCTCAAAGCTGCTGAGGTAGAGTTGTCGTTTACTTATTTGAGTGCCGAACGCAACGCTAATTTGAAGTCATATTATTCTTCAGTCTTGGTACTCAACACTTCTGTGGTTGCATAGTCTGCTTCGGTATGAGCGGCTTGCGAGGTAAATTACGTCATTGGATCTGATATTCTTCAGGTTGCACAGCAGATTGACTTGGCGGGAGATACAGCCGCAAGTTCGTATGAACTTTGAACTGTGTTCCAGCTAAGCTAAAAACGGTGACTTTGGAATAGGAGCTCTAGTTGATGCGCATCCTTCCTTGATAGATCTCTCAGTACTTGTATGTCAAGTGAACGAATTTGGCTGTCTGATATGGCCGATCAAGTAAGCTTGAGATATAATCGTCTGAAGCTGCTAATTTACTGAGAATTAGTATTTCTCCCCGACAGCACACAAGGCCTTTGCAGCTGGATGTATATCATCAGATGGAGGCTCAGAAGTAATCCAACATAGACGACATGGTCGGCTGTTAAGCACAGTGGTATCGCAGAGTTGCCCTTTGCTGGCCGGCTGGATATGGACTCGCGTCTTTCAAGCCAACTGAACGAGTCGGATTGGCTAAAATGGGATAGGTACCACGCTCCAAGGGAGATGTGCCATCCGATGTGCCATCCCTGCTTAACAGATTCGAAGGATTCCGCTAATCGTGGGACATGGTCGTTTCCCAGTCGCAAAAGGTTTGCCGTGATAGCCACTTCGAAGCTGTGACGATTATACTAGGTATGATGCACGCATGCAAAGTTGCAAATAGGCAGATTATGCGTGAGATTAGCTGGAAGGGCCCATGAATAGCAACAAGGGAATCGATGAACGCACAACAGGCATCAAGGACGAGCGTTGAATCATGGAGTTGAGGTCACACTGGTTCATCGATACATATAGTCGATAGACTGAGAACACGAGTAAAACACTTGGCTCATTGGAAGAGATTTCTGAATAGGAGAGTCATGGATGAGTTTGGAGGTGGCAGGTGGCTGAAAATGATTCGAATATGAGAAATACGGCAAGAGTTGGGACTACGGCGTTAGAGGAATGAGCAATTGAATCTAGCAGTGTAGTGAGCATTCTGAGTCAAAAAAGGTACGGGTTTTCCTAAAATATCCAAGGCATGATAGGGGCCGGTGCATAAGTTCAGAGTGATCGAAGCCAGCCAAGCCACCTTTACAACCGTAGTTGAGGAGAATGATATCATCCCTCATACCGCATGACGCTCAATATCCCAGAAATACGGCAAGGTCTGGAGAATAACGCATGTGAGAATCAGTCTACAAAATTCCAAGAACATATTCGATAATGTGTGGGCAAACCATTGAGGCTGCTGAGGTTCATTGTTTATCTCGTCTCCGTGGTCCCTGCGGAGGTCTGAGACCGGGTATCTCTCCCGCAAATGTTGGTCATCTTAGTACAAAAGAATTTTCAAAAAGTGAGCCGAGGAAATTCTCCTATTTCTGGCGAGCAGATAGAGTGCAAGAACATTTGTGGTTGAGATAAGTGTTACCGAAGTCGAAAGGAATAAAAAATGATAGCGGGAGAAGAGGGTAGGAGTAGGCACAAGCGTGGAGCAGCAGGCCCAAGAGAGAGTGTAGGGGAGCACTAGACTACAGCCCAGGTACGGATTAGCCTTGTCCGTACCGTACTTTAACGTTCGAAAATACTCTCCGCCCGACGCTGAAGGTCTTGTCCGGGTCCCGTCCTCCTCGTCTGGGCCAATCACCGTTGTTGTATGCCTCGGCGCTCGCTCTCCCACTCCATCCTAATTCCTGACTACTGGGCCTCTTGCCGCAATGATCCTCAAATGTGATGGGGCCCAGTTCTGCCGTCGCTTCTTTTGGTCGCGGCAACCGCCTCTCCTTTCGTCTGCTCTTCTTTTTCTTCTCCTCCTGTTCCTCCGCCTCTAATATCCTCACGTCTTCGTGTCTTTCTCTTCCTTTCGCGCCAATTTTGTTCCCCGCACGACTCTTAGCCTCTTTTCGATACCTTCCTTTTTCGACGCCACTCGCGAATCCACCCCGTCGTGTCTTGTTGCTATATTTCGTTCCGTGCGTAAACGTCCAGCGGGATCGAAGACGCGTCCATCCTACGGTGAGTCGTGAATTTACAGTACCTCAATCATCTCCTGTCGCACCTACTCGCCTGGTCCATACTGGAACAATCTGCATATTGCTTGAAGCTTTGAACGTCACGACTGAGCTATGTTTGGCGCAATGCACCATACCTGGATTCATCCTCCGCCGAGGCGACT